AAAAAAAAAAAAAAAAAGAAAAAAACAATTTTCACGTCCACGTTTCAGCAAGGTTTCAGCCCCGTCCAGCCCCACGCTCGTCCCACCCTTCCCGTGCCCCGTAAACAAAAATGTACACCAGCAAAACGGTCGCAGAGTCCTGGGAGCAGCGTCTACACGCGCGATTCATTCCCGGCCATTTTTATGTACACACTCGCAGGGAAACGGCGCCGTGTCCCGGAAGATCGAGCCCGGCGAACACGCGCCCAGTCCTCAGGCTAAAATTGCACTTCGTTATGTCGAGCGTCCCTCGTCCAGGCGCCCGGGGCTCGGTTCGCCGTGGACCGTCCCGGATCGGGGCACGGAGGATGTCAGAGACCGACGACCCTCTCCCCTGCTACGATGGCTCGGAGGTCGAGTCCGGTTCCCTCTCGTCGCCGGATAGCTCTTCAGGCTCGCAGGGTTCGGCCAGCTGCTCGTCGTCGGGGTCGTCGTTCGTGCTGGTCACGGGCTCGTTCTCCTGTCACGGACTCCCTCCGCCAGCGTCCGCGTCCCCTCTGTGTCCACCGGGCGTTAGACTAGGGCTGCGCCTCCTCTTCTCCTGCAGGCCGTTCACCATGTTCTCTATGGACTTCAGTTCACCCGCTGAACTGCTGCCAGATGTCAGACCAGTGGTGGGCGTTGGCGAGCCGGTCGGTGGCCTCGGGGGTGGGGACCTTGGGCTCAGTGTCCTGCTACCAGGGGTGACCGTCTCGAAGGCAGAGCCGTGCGACGGTGCTGGCAAGGTGTACGGCGCGAATCGATGTCCCTTCAGTTGGTGAAGAGGACTGGCCAGTGGGTGAGGATAGTGCGCGAAGAGGGCTGGGTGCTGAGACGCGGCCAGAGCCAGTTGCGCGTTGAACAGCATGCCTGGTGTTACGCCACCGTGGATTCCCAGGGGACTGGGTGGTATCAGAGGCCCTGGGCCTGGATAGAGACCAGGCACCGGTGGATAGAGGTACGGTAGCAGGGGCGGATGAAGCGGTGGACCGACTGATACGTCCGGTCGAGGCCCCTCTGAACCCGTTGGGCCTGGTGCACCGCCACTCTCTGAGCCAGATGATTCGCTTCCTTCCCCTCTTTCGCTCGTCCGGTCGTCCCTTTCGCGGGAGTGCTCACGTTCGCGCTGATGATGCGCCGGATGCGGCGTATCAGGTCCTACGACGTCCAGCAGCTTGTCTTCGTCGTCCAGAAGGTCGTTGACCGAGTTGGACGAACGACGCTTCTCAGGGGATGCTGGGCCACTTGCTGTTAGACGAGAACCGCCTCCTGACACTGTCAACAGCGCCTGCCTTCTGCAACAACGACGCAGAGTTAGCAATCTTTTAGGGCTTGATGGGATTTTTTTTTTTGGTTTAGCGGATGAAGGGAGCTTTGTAGAAGGGAATTACGGAAGGGTAGTTTAATCGAGGATTAACTCGACAGGTCATTATCAGAAGAACACAGATTGAAATATTATGTCTTTCAGAATTGAACTTTCCAGCTCGACTTTATTATCAATGTTTGCTCGAAATTTATCATTGCAATAAATATTTTCCGCGCTTTTTTACTTCCTCGTATTTTTCCACCGAATTAAATTATAATAAGTAATTCCATTGAGTTAAGAACTCCATGCATTTTAAAATAGTTGAAATTCTTTCTGCCTCGCGAGGAACATTATTTCAGGTATTATTTTACAATTGTTCCGAGCTAATTTGTTGTATGTGAAAAATGCAACAATTATCGGTTCAGTAAATTGGACCCCTTTGAAATTCAACCCTTAATCGAGCTGTTTCGCACCTCTGGCAAATTACAGGCGTTTTAGTCGTCGCGTGTGATCACTGTGGCAACACTCGTATGGCTGTTACTGGCAAGCGTGCGTCTAAAATGTGTATTGATCGTGTGCGGTATGTGTGACGTGTCATTAGATCGATTATACTGGACCAAGTTTGTGCAATACACGATTAGGTGTTAATTTCAATAAAGCGCAAAGGGCAGTTTCGCTTCGTGGATACAATTTTGTGATTAACAGAATCATAATTAAATGTGTAATTTGATTTCCAGTGAATTTCGTTTCGACTTTTATCCAACGAGAGTGTCAAAGCTGATTCTTAATCATAAACATTTTTAACAATTTCGTATGTTCAGATTACTTTACAAATAATTATTACATTTTATCGTGTATACGTGTGTGTACTTTTTTTTTCCTTTTTTAAAATTCTTCGATAGTTTCGATACATCGTGACGGACGAAGCAATTTATTTTAAAACAATGACACGCTTCAATTTTCGAAGCAATTTCCTTCGAAAACCCTAGCGAATCCAATTTTCAAACCAATCTACCCTAAGAAACTTGACGATTTCGGGTTGAAAACCAATTTGTCCCAAAAACCGCCGTCGTTCGACACTCAAATCGACCTATCTGCACGCCCATTCCAAATCTCAATTACCCGAACGACGTAACTGGAAAATTTCCCCTGGCAGACCTATCTGAAACGAGTCGTCCGAAAAATTTACATGGGGAAATCTCGCGCCTGTTATTATTTCCGACTACCAGAAAGTGGAAAATCGTTCATGTCACTTATATGTATCGTGTTCGAGAGAGCACTTAATTTTTAATTGGTTTTCGTTGCCGATCAGAAAAAAATTTAGAAACACAAACTATTTCCTATTAACGTCCGAATAATTTCAAATCTCACACTTTTATCAACAGCAATTTCTTCGTAGGAACTCAGAAGATTCAGTTTACATCAGCGAGTCTACAAAAATCCCTCCTTTTCACCCCCCCCCCCCCAGAGAAAAAGTTTTAAAGAAATTTTAAAACACTGAAAACACTGTCCAGAAAATCCACTTTGTATCTCACTAAACTTTTCTCTCTCTCTAAAAAAAAAAAGTATCAAAAACCACCCTTAAATTTCTCACTTGCGCGCGTTGTTTGTTTACAGATCCGTGCGTGAAAGAGCTTGGTCACTTGAAATCGGCGTACGGTAGCGCGATAGAGCTTTCGCGAAACGATCAAGATGCAAATCGTATTTTAACGAACACGCCTCGAACGGATAGGTAAGCATCGTGTAAGACTCGGCTAGAGCCGCTCGAAAGCCGGACGTAACGACAGGCTTACCGATACCTTAATGCCGTGTAATGCGATCAATGCACCGACACAGCCGCGGCAAAACGACAACGAGGCCTAAAACAGAGAGCAACCGTAGCCTCGATGGACGCAACGGCGCACGATGGAGAGAAAGAAGGAGGAAACGTTCGCGAGTACGTCGTCGGTGTACTGGATGAATCCGTGAGCCTGGAAAGGGTGTTATGCTAGTACGGTTCTCCGGTTTCCGACGCGCTTAAGTGCAAGAACACGTTAAAATCAATAGTTTGCGTGGACGACACGGGATTTGGTAAGTGAGCCTCGTTCTTTTATTCCTCTTTCACCTCGAAGATCGCTGATCTGAAGGCGTGTGAATTTGAAAACAGATACACGGTATTTATTTGCCTTGAAATCGAAGGTGTCTCGATCGTTAGAGAATTTGATAATGATGATTATGATGAGATGGTTGATCTTGGATAAAAAATTTCTCAAGGAATGAGATTAAAGCGAATGATTTGCTATGGTCCCATCAATATGGATTTGTGTGATATTTCACTAGTTGATCAAATAAATAGAAAACATTCCATTTACACCCCCTGACGTACATACATCTCTGCACTTTAAACTTCGAACAACAATAACAATTTTAAAATAATTTCGAATGATTTTCTAATCGACTGTCAATATATAAATTAATTCAACTATTTCGTCCTTTCCCTTCTCCGCAATTCCTCACGTTGCAGAATTTCGTGCAGGCTTCATCCAATTTCAAGTTCGAATTTAGTAGTCTCTTGTCTTCTATCCTAATCTGAACTTCAGAATAGTAATGGCAACGGATGTGAAATCGCATGATTATCCGCGAAATACGCGTGTCTCCTCGACCGATCTCACTGTTATTCGTACACGCGAAGTAAGTTGAAGCAGGTAATTGGATTCACTAGGTGTGCTTCTGTCGTGCACGCGGCCGTTCCAGTTTCAAACTGGTTCACGCCCCTTACTCGTAATTTTAATGCTCTTATCATTCAAAATATCTTGTATCTCTGCCACCGTAATCTCGACTTACAACAGAAAACAAGACGTAATGAAACTCTCTACAATATCTACACACTATCTCTCGTTAATGAAATATTCGATTATCTTAAACAAATTTGCATTTCTGTTACTCGCATGCTTACTCGATCTTTCACCAAAAGGTGAAACCAAAATCCTCTTGCATAATAATTCTCTCTCTCTCCTCAAAATATTACAACACTTCAATTCAAACACA